CAGCTCTGTACGATTTGTTTTGAGTTTTCAGCAGCGATACTTCAAGAAAACACAAGCGAGTAGTAAACGAGTATCGAGTACGCGACGTTTGTAGAGAAATGTTTGCTCTACCTTCTTACCGAGTCAGAAAATTTTTAACTTTTACGAGAGGTAAAAGTAAGTAGGTACGAGAAAAGCAGCAATTTACGAGACGCCAGGCTTTTGAAAAATATGAAATCCTTAGTCAATTACTCAGTGCATGCCTACTTATCAATAGTATACATCCTGTGAGGTTTACGACTCGTAAACAAATGTTTAATTGTTTTTAAAAGACTGATACAAAAATTTGACATTTTTTGACATATTTCAAATCTATATGCGCTGATTTTCAGTACTATGGAAGAATTTGGTATAAAAACATCTGCCTTTTAGAGACCTCATGTTATTTCAAAGGAAATAAAAAGATACTATTGAAGTAGAATATCTGTCAGCAAGAGGAAATAAAGTGAGCTAAACATACCTCTGGAAGCAATATGTTCAGAAAATTCACAAAATCATTATTTTAACTATGTGTCACTCAAACATGAAAACAGAATGAAAAACTACTGCTTTATCGTGACGTAAATATTCTTTACTATACTGCACATGCACGTCATCTGTGTTCTAGAATTTTACGAAAAAAAAATCTAAATAACTTTGAAGAAAAAGCCAGATACCACTGACATTAAAATAGAGATAGGAACTATCGAGAAAAAGCGCTACGTGCATAGACAACAGATATGTCAATCATAAGCATTTTAAATCATGAATATTTAAGTTTTAATAAAAAAAAATAATTATCACAAATTTCCGAATATATTCATTATGAATGGAAAAGTTCCGGCATTATTTATTTTGTTAAAAGTATATACACCTAAAAAGGAAATAACTTTTAGAAAAATGATAACATCAGCAGAAATAATTATTTTGAAATATTTTTCTCTCTAATGATAATTATGTCAATTATTTCTAGATATTATTAGGTCACTCATTTTTTTTCTGTAACCATAACTAAACATTGAGTTCTAGTTAGACTTTATTGTTTTGATTATTTTCACGAATTCTAGGTCTTTCAAATGTTAGATTTTTCCAACTATTACCACATCACGTTCATCATGGTAATATGCGTTAGAAGACGTGTATTTATTTAAATAGTCTTAAGTTGTTTCACGTGGAATTATTTTTTGATTATAGAAGTCACAAAATGTTAATTTGAATTTGAATTAATTTGAATTATGTTATATTTATATGAGTGAACACAATGATATGTTTGATTTATATGTATACATAGACAAAACTCATTGGATAGATTAACGGAATTTCTTGTCTTTTTCTAGTAATTGTTTGCCTTTTTTTCTCTGTTCCTCTACTCATATAATAATAATAATAATAATAATAATAATAATAATAATAATAATGATAATAGTAATAATGAAGCTGATTTAATATGACAAAAACACAACAATCTATTATGAAGTTTTGAAAAACAGGAATGCTGCATGATAATTATAGAGAGTAAGTACGTAGGTACGCATACGTTTTTTTTTTTTATTCGAATGTAGATGGAAAAAGCAAAAATAAAATAAAAAATAAAAATGAGAAACCGTATAAGACAAAAAATTCTTTTTCATTGAAAGAAAAAAAGAATGTACTTCTGTTATATGACAGATACACAGCGCTGAGACAAAAAAGACAATTAATTATGCTATACAAAAGCACAATAACAAGATGAATGGAAAAACTTAAGCTGATTTAGATTTTCTTTGGGATAACAAGTCAGGCAGATTATATCATCATCATATTGTTTTGATTTATTTTATTACCATGAACGAAACATTCTATAGTTCTACTACTTATGACCTGTTAATATAAGAGTTAAACAACTACATACAACAACAATATACAATGAGGAATTATTTAACATTTGATCTTGTTTAGAAACAACACACTATAAAAATGTTTTATAAAGGGCAGTTACACTTTTAAGAATGATAAATTAGTAGTCTATACATGTTTCCCAATGATTAGGAGCATTACTTACTCAAAATGCAAGTTATTTTTTTACCATTATCAGAGACATGATATTTTTTCAAGTTCTATTCGTAAAAAGGAAGGACATTTTCATACATGATTTTAAAATGGTAAGTTGAAGTAAAACTTGAATGATAGAATTTTTTTGTAGATTTTAGATTGTTTTAATATTCTGATATTAGACAGCTTAGACACAAATGTGAATAACACGAGAAAATACGAAGATGTGGAAAACAAAGTGTTCTGTTTCTCACTTTTAAATTCACTCTCATGTATTGCAGAGTATAAAAACAATTTGATATTGAAACAACTGATACTGATATTCTTTTGAATACATGAGTAAAATTCAATAGATAGTCTTCTCTTTTTCTCATTCAATGAATGAAGAGTCTGATCTTTTATCGTAATTCGACTTTGTGATAAAATTACAAATGTGTAATTAAAATATGTATATTTTAAGAAATATTTAGCTTAGCGCCTAAAATGATGGACTTTTGCACACATGTGCTAAGAAAGGTGTTTTTCGTAGCAATTATTTTAGTAATCGTGGTTTAAACTGAATGATTTTTATCCAGCACATAATGAATGCATTACTTTAGAAATTGGGAGATATTTTCAGAGTACAGAATTTCCGAATTTTTTTTGGTGAAATACAACTCGATTTTTTTAAAAACTTTCATAAGTTCTTATGATACACGTCTACAACAAAATTGTGTAGGATTCAGCTCACAGAGGTGTACGCTGCCTGATTACATATATATAGATGTAGGCCGGAAGTTGTATCTGTGTGACTAAAATAAATGAGAAACGCGGCTAAACCGCTGAGCATGAAATTGGATGATCCAGTTGAAACTTCAAGTTATTAGATGAAAATATTTTACATTTTCTTTGCGTACATAACCATTAGACATACAACTTCATATGATACTCGTCCTAAAACAACTATGCATAAGAAAGAAAGATATAAATTTTTGTCCATTATAGTTGTGGATATCTGACTGCGGATGTTTCCTAGACAAAATCCTACGCACTTCTTGTCTATTTCCTACTAGGGTCTTACAGAATCTTGACATTTAGGAACCACCTGATAACGTTCTAGCAGGATCCTAAAATGCTAGGATTCTACCAGGATTTCACTTAAGTTTATTTAGGATCCTAACAGAATCTTAGAAAATCCTATGACTTTCGGGTATAACTGATTTCATTAGGTTTTTGAAGGACTTTTTAGGATCCTAAGTAACTAAGCGAAATCCTATTAGAATATTGGTAGGATATGTCTCGGATTCTATCAGAAAACTTATAGGAATTTTATCAGATTTATCTCTTGTTAACACGTCATCGCTGTTTTTTAGGAATTCGTCAGTGCTTGAGCAGATATTGTTTGATGATTTGTGTTCATCACTGGTATTATTTTGATCATCAATATCATCTTTTCTGCTGCTTACTTTTTATTTATCAGTCGTTAATTAATGTTTATGAATTTTTCTGTCTTCTGTCTGTGAATATTAGCGGATGAACAATGACATCGAGTTCTGGCAGAATACGGGGTTCTAATAGTAAATGTGAGAATTCTCCATGTATCTGAATCAACAAAACTCTCTCATTTCATGTCACAAAAAGAAAAAAAATTATGTTGCGTGCATGAGTGAAACTATAAGTAATTCAACAAAGGACATAAGAAGAAAAGTTGATTCCGAAAAAAACAAAACAAAAAACTCATCATATTAGAATAATAGTTCACCATAGCATTTGTATAGGAGGTTGAACACAGCAAAGAAAAGAAGAGAGTACAACTTGGAATAAAAAAAAGAGGAAAATGAGAATAATACGTTCGTCATTTGTTTTGTTTAGAAAACTATTTTAACTATATGCAATGTAATTTAGTAGAACAGTGTATAAATTATTTATATTTATCGTACTATTTTTCTAGATCATCAAAGTTTTTTATTAAAATTGACTTTTATGTATCACTATTGGCTCAATTAATTTTTAGAGATAGAGATTTTATGTGACAATGATATGAATTGCTTTTGTTTGCTAAAATAAATTGTAAAATATAGTGATTTTGTTCACTGTTGCCTATTCGAGATTAACCTTCTAAGAAATAATTTTGTATATTTAAAATATCTTAAATCTATGGAAATTAAAAATTGTACCTGTATGGTATATTAACGATTATGCGCCTCATGTAAGCCGTTAAATTTTTTTGTGTTTTTACGTATAACATAAAAATTGCCGGTAGAAAATAAAAATATTTGAACCACGGTTCTTCTTCTCTATTCCTTCATCCAGTTACCTATTTTATCAGTAATAATTAAAAATAGTGAAATATTTTAAATGATTTATTACAGTTTACCATTTTATGTTAGTTTACAAAACATATGTTTTATAGAGATAGCATTTCTTACTCCCCGATGTAATTTCTGGAAAATTCGGAAATTAATTGTCGTTTTCTTCAAAATATTGACACCACATTTCTGGTGAAATAGGTGTGAAATACACGTAGGTAGAGTGTAACAAAAAAAAAAAAAAGAGACCAATAAAAAGAACAGAAGAACGTCTTTTTTAATATTATAGATTAATGTCACCATATATGAATGAACGTGTTTCAGTTCGTTTGAGAAAAAAGAAAATGACTTGATGAATAAGCTATTAATAATTGTAAATACTGTAAACTAATATAGAAAAACAATATCAGTCTGTTCAAAGGTGACGCTTTGTGTATCATTTCATTATATAATATATATTAGACCTATTAATGTATGTATAATGCATAAAAATTATTTTAACAAGTTAAATGATCTAACTGAATTTAGAGAATTTCTAATAAAATTGTCTTTTCTTGTGTATCAGTTAATTTTTTGACTAAAAAATATTCGGTCTATTTTGAAAATCTGTTCTTATTATTTTAGGATACCTCTACTTGGTACTAATCAATTGAAACGATGCAAATGAAAGTGAGTATGTTAGAATAATTAAAATAATGATGTTACGTTTACTCTTATTTATTTAGGGAAGTCGAGTACCGTTCACTCATACATCTCTGGCTCTATTTGTTTTTGTTATCGGTGTTGCTGGTGGACTGTTAATTGTGTTTTCAATTTTATTACTTTGTAAATATTGTTTTAATAGAAAAAATACAAAGTAAGCTTGTTGTCTATAAGCTCTGTATTTTTATCAACTAAAAATTATATATTTATTTTTTATAGACAAACTGAACAAGTGAAACTTTTATATGGTGCTTTGGGTTCAACATCATTTCGTATAGATAATGGACATCTAAAACTAGAACCAAGAAGATCAAATCCACTTGATAAATATCAAGAGTAAGTGTACAATTTAGAAAAATATAATCTGTTAATAATATTTATAGATATAACCTTTGATGCTCTCTTGATAAAGTTTAGAATATCTTGTTAAAAATAGCACAAATTTGTCATGTAAATCTGTCCTACGCTATGATGTGTAAAAAATATTCAATTTCATTTTGACAATACACTTTATAAAATTCTAAAGAAAAAATTTACATGCAAAATAAATGATTTCAAATTAGGTTTTTTTGTTTTTTTTAAATAGTTTCTATAGAAAATAGTCTTGAATATTTTTTAAAAAACTAATTTAGAAAATGACAAAATTTTTCTCATAGTAAAAACTAAATATTTTCTTCAATCTATTATTAACTAACATCTTTGTTTTGAAAAAAATTCTCTTATCTTATTAATTAAGTTTTGATTTTTTTTGTGTCAGTTATAGTTAGAGTTAACATATGTCATAACTATTAGAATATTCAACTATAGAATAACTGTAGATATTTAATGTTTAAATTTTATTTTAAAATTTAACATTTGTAACTATTGAATTATATTTATTATATTTTCGGAAAAATATTATTAAAGTATCGTTTATAATCAACCATAATGAAATCTAACTATGAATAACACTTCATTCAATATAACCGATAGCTATTTTTCATATTTCATTCGTCACCGTATTGCGTCTTATTCATTTTCTATTTATCACTCTATGACACTTGTATTAGACAAAAGAAGGAAAAATAGATAGATGTATTTTTATTCCATAACAGAGAGAGAGAGCGAGAACGAGAGGGAGAGGGGGAGAGACAGAGACAGAGAGTGAGAGGTCTTAAAACAAAAAAATATTCGTCAAATAACAAAAGATCATTATTAACTATGTGATGTATATATATATATATATATATATGTCAATGTCGTTATATATTTCTGACACGGTTTATATTTCAGCTTTCTCTTGGCGCTTTATATGTGATCATTATCACCCGATATATTACTGAATACCATCATTGAATTGTCAAAATCTACTCATAAAAAACAGAAGGTGAAACGGCATATTTTTATATTCTATAGAAATAGCTCGATTGTTTCTCTTTTTTCTTTGATTTATTAATATTTAAATATCTCCATAACATGCACGTTTTTCTCAGTATGAATAAAAGTAAGTTATTGTTCTCTCTCGTTCGATTTCCTTTTGACTTTATAATAAAAATAGATCTTGTTTTCTAAATAGTTGATAGAAAACAGTAAGAATAAAAATGAAGTCTTTTGATTTTGATTCGGAACGTTGTTTGACATGTAGTCAGTCACACAGATTCATTTTAGGATCTAAGTGTGACATGTACATTAAATTTCCGTTTTGTACGAGCTTTTATCCCATGGATGTCATAACATCTGATTATTTTACTTTATTTTTTAGAGAACGAAATAAATTATTAGACGAACAACATGATCACCGATATCCATCTTATCATGGAAGTCGTGAGCAAATTAGCAAACATGATCTAAACGGGTATGTATAAATAATTGAATAATTTTTGTCGATTTCTTATTAAATAATCAAACGTTATATTTTAGTAGTACATATGCTATTGATGGAAAAATAAACGAAAGCATTTCTAATACATTATTATATCCTGTCACAAATGAATTAAAAAATGATAATCATCAAAATATATGTCTGAATGAAAATACTTATTTACAAGTGGATCCACGATGTTACGTGAGAAATAATAGTACTACCAGTTCTCATTTAACTGTAACACCAAATTTTTTGCCAAGAAAATCGGATCCATGTTGTGGTCACACAATGACAACAGCTCGTCTAGAAAAAGTTTATTCATTAAATACTGATCAACGACAATTAAGACCAACATCACATCGTCAAAGTAGTTTTGATGTGGCTACATATCGTCAGCAATTAACGCCTACCAATGATCTTTCATCATCATTATATTCACAAGAAGTCTATTATACACCACGAGGATCAAATTTATCTGTTGCACAAACATCGGGTGTTCATCCAATGAATTCATCGGCAAGTCTTGATCCAAATTATATTTATCATCAAATACCCAATAGTAGAAAAAATTCTTCTATAACATCAACTCCCACTGAATCAACAAATATTGAAAAAAGTGATTGGGCTGTTACATATGATGTTAATTCAAATCAAACTACTATGCGTCCGGTAACTTTAGAAAAACAAAAATCATCTGAAATTATTCCTCAGAATGAAAGCGATAAACAATCATTGAGTTTTGATACTGTGCATTTACTTCGTCCCGGAAATCGTCCTGATGTAACGAGACGTGCTAAATCGTATGATCACGACGATCAACGTCGTGCCACATCAACACAAACACCAATAGTCATTAAAATACCGGATATAGAAAAATTAACATATGAATTTGTTGAACAAAATACATCAAATCGTGTAAGCTACACAAAAGAGCACAGTCTCGAACATTATAATAGTGTGAATTTTTGTCGGCACCGTTTGAATTGGATCCGTCTCATTTAAGATGAATCTTTTATTCTAGATAGGTTTTTTCTTGTAACTGCACCCTTATTTGAACGCAAAATGATGCTACGTACATTTTATCTTATAAAATTTCTACTCAGAAATAGAAGTTCACACAACTGAATAATAGTTTTCGAACTTTCTTAAAACCATCTTAAATGCCGTACTTATTTGATGCAAATGAAAAATTCCCTTCAATAGATTTCTACTACTTTCATTTTTGTTTCAGGAAGAAAAGAATCGTAATAAACTGATACTTGATCAGCAGCCACCGCGTCGTAGCTTCAATATACCGCATACGAATGGAGGACGGAAAGCAACATTAATCGATACACGATTTGTTCCTTTGAAACTCACTGATGGTTCACTACCAGTAGACGACACCATTCAAGCTCAAGATGCACGAGATTTATGGGCGTTGAGAAAATCATATGAAATAGAAGAAACTTTAGATAATACAACAATGACTATAGTAAATAAACAAGAACAACAGCAGAATCAGCGTGAACAAGATATTACGTCACCAGAAGAATTATCAACTGATTTTCTCACATCTATTTCGACATCATTCGATTCAAATCCGGAACATCCATCTGCAATAACTCATCATTACGATCATCACCATCAACCACCTTATCTACGAAGTCACACCATGGACAGTAATAGTAATCGATTATTACCCACACCAGATCAGTTACCATCTTATATTAATAATGCAGCAACAAATTCCGGTGATATCATTAATAATGAAATGTACAAACCAAGACGAAAGAGTTCATCAAATTTACTCTTGCCACCACCAGAAGTGAGACGACAAGCATTGCGTCGAACATTTGAAAAACGTCGAAGTTATATAAGTCAGTCGAATGCGTTGTTGAGAAATAATGAACAACAAAAACAATCAGTAACAGCAGAAAATTTTACTACAATGACAGATTTAATTGAACGTCAATTACAATCAAAAAATTCAACAAACGTGTCTAATTTCAATAATACGAATAATAATTATAATTCAAAAAGTGAAAATTCAAGTTTTGAACGAAGCCTTGAAACTGATTTTGATTTGCAATCAGATACAAGTAGTCGACCGGGTGATCAGTTTACATCAATTGAGTCGAGTGGAAATGAATATACAGATACGAATACTAGCGGAATACAGCGTGCTCCTACGTATAGTATACAAAGGAAAGAACCACTTCCACCATCACTACTAGAACAACATCAACATCATGATGATAGTGGTTATAAATCATTGGAAAGTCAAACAAGTCAAAATCGAACGACGAGTTTAGATTGGTTATCAGTCGATGGAGCAGAGAGTGTCATTTATCTCGATAATAATCATGATGAACAACACAGAAGTATTGATAGCCAAAATATAGAAGAAGTAACAAATGAATCTCTTCCACAAGAAAAAAGCTATCATATAAGGTAAGTACGATACTGTGGTACTGTTGGTATTAAAATTCATATAATAAATTTATATAATATTTATTGTTTGTTTAGACGAAGTCCTGTACCAAATTCAATGCTGAAATATGGTCAATCATCTTATGAATGCCAACAAAAATTAACACCACCTGTTATACAGTGCAGAAGTTTATCGACTAATATACCGATTGCTACTGATCTCTATAGAATATCCTCATCATCGATGACAACACCAGCCACCGTTTTCAACAATGTGCAGATTGAGAATTCATCCAATGTAGTATCATCACCATTTAATCGAACAGCATCAAAAAAACGACGAGAATTCGGTAAAGATAAGAAAGATGCACTCATAGATGAACAACGACAACAACTTCAAATAAATGAGCAACATCAACGTACCTCATCTTGGAATTGTCAGCAGGTAGGTAAAGTTGTATATCTAAATTCATGAACGAGAATAATCAAATTTTCTATGACTTGTAGAGTGATGATAATCTGAATTCATCGCCAATAGTTCAAAAGTCATCGTTACAGGTGAAATATGAATATTTAAGACGAACAAAATCGGACGATTCTAGAAATATATATACTGAAAAAGGTAATTAATTTCAATTGCTTACAATAAAAAATATTGTGTCGCAGTTCATATGAGAAAATTGTGTCGTAAAAAGAACGTGTCACCGTTACTAAGAACTCTTAGATACAGTCCTTCAGATCATTTCAGGATCTGCTCTGTTCAAAAAATTGCTAAATTTTATGTTATACTATTTTCAGTAATCTTCATTAGGATTTTTCTCGGCTTCTCTTCAATTTTGATGAGCTATAAGTGCTAATACGTAAAAGATACGAAAATTTTGGGGCTTTTTAAGTTCTTTCAATTTTTGAATTGATGTTATTCGTGGTTAAAGATCCATGTCTAAGTCTTTTTTCTATGTTAAACATTTTACTCTGACGAACCAAACCGAGGCCTTGACTACGCAATTAATCCCAGATCTCGGAAACTAAATATAATGAAGGCCTGTGAATATTACAGGTGAATTGAGCTTGTTGACATTACATGGTACATCCAAAATGAACTAAAAATATTTTTAAAATCGAAGAACAGATAAAAAATATTTAATTTCCGCTGTTTTCTCTATGGTAGAACTACTTAGCGGAATGTGTTGCAAGCAGCTCCCAGTGTCGCAGATGATTATGTCGCACATTATGTCACAATTTGCGACACATGCGACGCAATATTTTTTAGTGTGCTCTTCAGAATCGTTTAGTCTATTTTAATAATACTTTTCTTTTTTTGTTACTAGAACATACTGGTGATGAAAATAATAATCATCTTCAAAAACTTAATAATTCGAATAATCTTGTAACTTTGAGTGCCGAGCATATTCTGAATACATCAGATTCTCATCATCGTTTACCATTCATCGTCTCAGATGAAAGTAGCATTGATAAAAATAATCATGAGATTATACCACATCATTATAAAAATACTACCTCTAATAGTACAAATCAAACTTCTAATGAAATAAATCTTCCAACAACTCAATCTCAATCACTATCACCATTTCGTTCAAAACGTGGCTCATTTTCATTTGACGCGTCATCACAACAACAATTCAAACAACAACATCTTCATTCCACATCAGTCGATATATCGTCTACACCAACATCACAAATTGATAAAAAACCTGCAGAACATTTTAATACTCAAATTCCCAATACGAACATTAAAAAACACTCACCAATTTCGGTTGGTTACTTAACAAAACCACGTTTCAAATTTAGTATAGTTCGTGATTCAAATATGCCTGTTTATAGTATGCCGTTATTTCGAGACTACAGTATTGATGAAAAAACAAATCGTATTGTTAATGAATTTTTAAAATATGATCCATTATTAGACTCACGTAAACATCATCCATCTCAAACATATCGTACTAAAACAGTTGATGAATCAAATAATAATTATTTGAGAGGTCAACAAGATAATAATCGACGAAATTTTAAACGACACCATAGTAGCATTGTGGGTCCTACATCATCAACAATGATGATTAACAATGATCCACGATATATTAATTTAACGAAAAAAACAACATCGTTGAATTTGAGTGATAGCATTGAAGAAGAGCCACAACAACCACACTATCAACGATATACTACGAAAACAAATGTTACAGCTCCACCAATCAATATTATTATTACGGGAGACGATAGTGGAAGTTGATAAATAAATGTAATAAAATGTGAATTTTTTAGTTGATGAGTTTAACCGTCCGATGTGACAAACGCTCTATTCAAATACTCTGTAAAAATCGAATGAATAATATCTTTTTGTTTAGTATTTTATCCTTTCTTTATAATCGCAAATAAAGTTCTGTTATTATTTTTCTATTTTAATTAAATGAGTTATTTTATTGTTCTTGTTTATTTTCTCTGTTTTTGATTATTTCTTAGTTTCTTCCATGCTATTGTAATTATATTTGAATGTTGAAAAATGGATAGAACAAAATAAATAATCCATATTATACCCATGTTTTATTACTAACATGCTTTCTGAAAATCAGTTAAACATCTTATATTGAAGATAACGAAGGATAATCATACTGTAGAAAGAGAGCTATGGTTAACGAGTCATGTATTCTTTCTGCCTATTTACTACTGTTGGAGTGTAGTAATTTCAGAACCAAAAGTGAAGAAATGGAGGACAACAAAATTTTCGGAGTCGCAATTAATAGATTCAGTCTAACGCCAAATAGCTAGCTATATTAACAAATCCGTTCAAAAAATTTTTTGACAAATTGTTCAGCAATGACTATTGCTCATATCAATTGACAAATTTGTGCTCCATTCTTTTTTCTCTCTTATGCAAGTCGAGTTGAATGAAAGGATATAATTATTGTGATAATATAATGATCGGAGTGAGGTCGGTCTGAATAGTAATATTAATTGCTGGTAAATAATATGTATTTTATAATGCAATTTTTTGGTGCAGGAGAGATGAAGACGCAGCAAGTCCAATAATGCTGAGAATTAAGTGCAAAAACGACTCCAGAAATGAACGAAAAAAATTGCAATGGGAAAGGTTGTTCAATTCATTAGTCAACTTCAAACTAGCCATAAAATTTAACTTTAGTTATGAGATAAATGCAATTCATCTTTAATATGTCAGATATACTTTCTACCTATTTAATTTATAGGAGCATATGAAATGAGAATGGCTAAAAGTTGTTGAGTGTTTGACAATTTGACGCTAAAATGTTTCTTAATGATGCATGGACTTAAATGCATTCTGATGGGCGTATTTTTCATAGACTAAACTAATGGATGCAATAAATCTTAGTGGCCGTTTTACCTTCTTATAACCTTCCGTTTCAGCCATCTCTATTACTCATAAACAATTAACATTACTATTCAGGCTCACCTCTCTCCGAATAGTAAGTGTATTTGACATTGATTGGCTTTTTTCAATGCGATTCATTTCATCAGACCGCATACCAAAGAGAGAGAAAAAAGAATTGAGCAGTAATTTGTCAATTGATGTGAGTAAAAATACCATTTTTAAAATACCATGTTTTGAAGACATGGGATTCCACTCACACAGTAATATCCGACTTTATATCAACTATATTACAGGCAAAGTACACTGAAACCAAACGACTTAATGCTAACTGAAACTTTTGAGTAAATGTACTTTTGATCACCAAATTCTTTAGCATGAATCTCACATTTTTATTTCTCAGCAAAGTATAATGTACAACACAAACACATTCATTGAAATATTAACCAAATGAACAATATTTTTACAGTTTTATTTATATCTATTTACAAATTTAAAGCTTTGCTAAGTTTCTTGGGACGGCCTTTTCCTTTTCGTTTGCCTAATACATGTTTTATCGCTAACTTAATACAAGTTAAATAAAATTGTTAATTCAACTGAATACTTACACGAATATACTTTCATACCAACCAGACAGCTACATGATTCTAATGGTACAATAAGCCAACAGGATTGTTGCCACACCAGAAAATCATTGAATGTGTCATTGTCTAGATATTTATCGTTCTCGTCAGTGGTTTACATTCAATGATTTTCTGGTGTGGCAACAATCCCGTTGGCTTATTGTACCATTAGAATCATGTAGCTGTCCGGTTGATATGAAAGTATATTCGTGTAAGCATTCTGTTGGATTAGTAGTTTTATTTACCTTGCATCAAGTTAGCGATAAAACACGTATTCAACCATTAGGCAAACGAAAAGGAAAAGGCCTTGATTATAATTGCAACTGTTTTAAGCTTCATTTTATTTTTTTGGCCGTCCCAAGAAACTTAGCAAAGCTTTAAATTTGTAAATAGATATAAATAAAACTGTAAAAATATTGTTCATTTGGTTAATATTTCAATGAATGTGTTTGTGTTATAACCCGCCCCCCCCGGG